ATTTATTACGAAGAGACTACTTCGATAAGCAGAAGCAACACACTTACTATAGCGATCCGAGGTTTCAAATATAAAAATTCTGTGCAAGTCTTTCCTAGTATTCCTCATATAATAAATATAGCTCTATATATTTATGTTTTTTTTATCTGCATTCTTAGGTGATTTGCTTAAGTTATAAACACGAATGTATATTACATATTTATTTTAAAAAATGAAAGCAGTACAAACGATGTTTATGTCTTTTGACTTTTTTTTTCATTTCATTTGAGAACTAAACAATAGGCGACTTACAGAAAACCTTCATAAAAATGATCGATAAATACTATTAAATATTATACATTAAAAATGATGTCGGAGTTTACAAATATTAAAAAAATATGTTAACATTTTCCCAACAGCAATTAAGTCGTATAATCATACAGAATGCAAAAGACTTAGAAATCACTTTCGTAATTTCTAATTTTTAAAATTAAAATAATCCTGCGCTTATATATGATTACATATTTATTACTTGTGCTTTAGTGGTAATACAACATAATTTGTTTTTATACAATATCAGCAAAAGTTTCGTATTCCAGAAAGTATAATAAATATGTAGATAAATTTAAGTTTAACCATATTTAAACAGAGAAATGAAATATAGTAATAAACTGTGACATCCAGAAAGACGACAACAAGTGAATTATTTTTCAAGGTAGACATGTTTATTCGAAATATCAATGATGCTAAACACCTGAGTACAATGTACACCAGTGTTTCTCAACGAGGGCGATATCGCCCCCAGTGGGCGTTTTTCTATGTCGAGGGGGCAATTAGTAGAAATTTATATTTTGGGGAGTGAAAACAATATTTTGGACATTATAGTAAAACATTACTTTACTACAAGAATAATTAGATATTTTATTCCTTATATCCTACAATTATTAAACAAATAACATTATACTATTCACTAGTCTATTTAATGCAATGCGAATTTGGCGTTAGCCTTGTCCCTTGGCAGCGAAATTTTGTAATGAAGGGGGCGATACTACTTTGAAGAGGGCGACGATTCATTTGAAGTTGAGAAACACCGATGTACACGATACTATAATAATTCGTAGTTTTTGCTTTTATTCTTAAACAATAAGAATAACTAACATTTATTAAAATCAAAGAAAAAACTAACAAATTGTTGAACTTTATCTTTTCAGCAAAAAAAATAATGTTAAAATTAATTATTTCAAATAATGAAAAAATTTTATAATTTAACCTTCGATAATTATTCTGCAATTCATTTCAAAATTCGTTTTTATACACATTTCTTTCTATTATTTATGTTATGCAAGTTACATGATGTGCTTAATAAACATTCTTTGGGTGCATACTATATTCTGTCTGAAAAGAATTAAGTGAAATATTTTCCACTATCTATTTTTTCATAAATGGCAAACATATTTGCTCGTATGTAATTGCTAAATACTTAAATATAGTACTTTGACATGTTATTATTTTAATTTAATGGTTTTTTCTGATTAAATATTAAAGTTGCGAATAATTTGTAATAAATCAAGTAATAAGTAGTTACAATATAATTAACACTAACGTATTTATAATTAGAAAACAAGTTCAGTTAAATATATTTAATAATAGAAATATTTTTATATTATTATTCAAAAAATAATAAACTGTATTATACTAAATTTAACAGGCTAAAGCTATTGTAAGTATATTAATATATATATGTTACTTATTAACGCATATTTTATTATGATTTATTTTCAAGAACTATTGCTATATTTAATGTATAATTGAATTAATGGTATTTAACAGTAATGCTAAAACATACAAATTAAAATAACTTCTAATTTTTCATAAAAACATAAGTTAATTATATAGTATTTTATTCGAAATATAAGAAATTCAATTGTAAACTTTTTTCGCACAAATACAAATGTCGTATTTATACATGTGTATAATCTATATATACAGTAGAGCATCGATTATGCGATTCAATTGGGAACTCAGGTTGGTCGGATAACTGTAAAAATTGGATAACCGAAAAGAAGGAAAAAATACATTATTAGTATAGTATATAGTATATACTATAGTGATTATAGAATTATCATTTTTGTACATCATTTGAAATAGTTTAAAATACATTAAATAAAAATAAGCAGGTAACATTTATAATTTATATGTTTGGTAAAATATTACAATATGCTAAAATAATTAATGTTTATATGTAATATGCTCAACATATTACAGAAACTTTAATATTTAGGCCCACTTCTATTCATTTTATCAAGAATGCTTTGTATATAAAAAATAAACTGATCAAATAATTAATGCTTAAAATAGAGATCATTCTGCTTTTATAAAAATCATGGGTAGTTTACAAATTGAAGGTTTTATAAAAATACGTTAATTGTATTAAAAAATGCGGGCATTGATCGTGACAACTGTATAATGAGAGTAGTATATAAACGAGAGTTCTCCCCCGAAATTTAGAAACATGAAAATTTGGATAAATGTTTAAAAATTTGGTTAAAATACTTTAAAAATTTTAGTCTAAAAAATGACAATTACTTATTTCGTCCTGAAAATAAATTAAGTTAAATCCGCCACATGTCTAAAAGTAAATATAAAAAAATTAATTATGAGCTCTATTCAGCTTCCTCATACTTCTGTACACAAATTTTAAATTTATTCGATTGTTTAGTGCATAAATACGGTTTTCAGTTAGATGTTTATTTACATCGATCTGGTAGAAAACCCACAATTGCCATACTGAATATTCATAATCAATATAATTTTAATAACTGTGATTTATTACAAAAAAGAAAATAAAAAAAAGCCAAACAAACTTAATAATATGAGCATTATACATATTTTCACAATCTCTCATACTCCTGTATACAAATTTAAAATTATTCATCTCATTTAAATATTCATTCTTTAATTTTTTATTGACTCGATCGGGAAGAAAAACTTGAAATTCATTCAATTCTCTATCCCTAAGAACTACTAATTTTTTATTACTAAAGCGAGGGACATTGTTTTAATATAATCAATTGGAGATTCGTAATCAATTTCCAACTCGTTTGCATTCCTCATTGGAGTATTTTGAAGTTTACCAATATTGTTTTGTTTTTTCAATGTCTCTATTTCAATGTCTCTATTTACTTTTATTGAATAAAGTTCATGTTGCTTGATTCTAATTAGGTTCATTGTTCGGGAATGTTCTGTTTTATTAAACAAACAGTCTTTATAGTCATCAAATGATATCCTATTTTTAACAACACATTTCTTTACTCCTTTTGATTTTTTTGAAACCTGATTTTCTACTTTTAAGGCATACATTTTTGCTCTTAAACCAAAAATTTTTCTCATTATTTTTCCATTATTCATTTTACGTAACACTTTCTTATTAACTCTCGGTATACCATATTGATTATTCTCAAGATAATCGGATGTATCAAAGTAATCGATCATTTCCTCATGTCTTGATAAGTATCACTTGTTTTATATCATGTATATAACTGTCCGTATGCTGATATAACAGTTTTATGTGTGACCATAGGGTCGGTATCTCTTCGATACCTCGTCAGGATGACATCACTGTATCTTTCGGTCGATACAGAGACCACAAGTTCGCGCGAGCGGATAGGTATGAGGGTTGGACCCGGAATGGAGAAACTGAGAGAAAAACGGAAGAAACTGCACTCCAGAAGTTTAAACATAAAAACCGTTTATTTATATATAATCTAAATTAAGTTTACATCAGCGAATAAAATACGATACATAAACTACATGAGTTATTATTCAATTTTTAGTCCAAATTAACGATCGGGTGCGCGTTTCGTTTACGCGGAGAGAGAGAACGTACAATAGTGCGCGGGCAGGATAAATACCTTAGGTTGTAGGCAAAATCAGCACAAAAGGTCCAACAGTTCTTTTTAGGTGAACAGTTCTTTCCAGGTGAGTAGAAAGATTTCAGTTAAGTTCAGGTCTTCTAGTCTTGTCCAAGAGGAGGAGGTTCGGATTCTCGGCGGGAGGTAGACGATCGGAGCGCACACACAGATACCAATAATAACTTCCACCCCCTTACTCATCATGCCTGGCCCTTTTATATCAAGTCCTCATTTTCGAACTTTTCTCCGATTTCGTCAGCGATGACGATCTTCTTGGTCCAATGAGGGGACGGGTGACACAATCGTGACACAGAAATGTACTCATCTCAACACGGAACCTAACTCGTGGGAATCAAGGTTTTTATTGATTTTATTTTTCCTTTTTCTCTTTTAATTTTCTGTTTTCTCGTTCCGTCTTTATAAAGTTTATTTTAAAAAAATTATAGTTTAAAACACTAAATTTCTGGTCCTCACATCACCCTGGGCTTTCTAAAATCGAGCTTGGTTTCCTTGAGCAAGCTGGATTTTATCTCATTGAGGAAGTGTTTTTACAAGTTTGTTCCGGCTCTCTCTCTCTCTCTTTTTATCGCGGTCGCGTTACAATGTTATTCTCGGAAGTTATTGATACGTCACGGAAATTGACAATTGTTGATATTTTTGCTCTCTCTCTCTCATAAGTTAGCGTTAAGGTGTTTCGCGTTCGTAAGAAAATTACACGAACAGGTTAAATGGATTAAAACATTATTTATTGATAATTTCCTTCGTTGATCCCTAATTCCTTCGGGGGATTAAAATTAAAGGTTACTATTTTGTTTCTCTTCTATCTATGTTCCCTTTTTTTGTTAGTTTTAGTGGTTGTATACTATTTCGGCCTTCCTTTGGTGGGCTGGCCTTCCGTTTTGGGATTCGACTTCGTCTTGGAGGTGGAAGGATCCAAGGTCGATCTTCCATGGGTCCTTGGCTTCTTAGAGCATAGTAATGTGAAGAAGTTGGTTGTTCCTCTTCGATGGTGGGTTCTATATCAGTTTCCTTTTCTCCTTCAGACTCAGATTCGGATTCAGAGTCAGATATGGACTCAGTTTGTTGTCGTGACAATTCTGGAAAATAAATTCATCCCAGGGGTCTATATTGGAAGGTAGTTCCTTTGAAAGGGAAGTCTCGTTGACTGGAAGTGGCAGGTTGATCTCTGAGTTCTTTTTGTTCGAATTCTTGTCGAGCAATAACATGTTTGAGACGATTAGCATGAACTTGAATTCTCTTCTTCGTAGTTAAATTNTTTTCTCCGATTTCGTCAGCGATGACGATCTTCTTGGTCCAATGAGGGGACGGGTGACACAATCGTGACACAGAAATGTACTCATCTCAACACGGAACCTAACTCGTGGGAATCAAGGTTTTTATTGATTTTAGTTTTCCTTTTTCTCGTTTAATTATCTGTTTTCTCGTTCCGTTTTATAAAGTTTATTAAAAAAAAATTTAGTTTAAAACACAAAATTTCTGGTCCTCACATATGTTATCTCTGTATTTAGGTTTCATCACATTATAATGAAAATCATACATCAAATGCTTTGAAACATCTAATATGCACATTCCCACAAAGATGAGTTTATTAACCTAATTAATGGAGAGAAAAACTGATCAAAATTTAGGGTTAAAATATATTTTTATCTTATTCATGTGAATAGCACATAGGTTTTCAGTAAATATGGTTCGATGTTTAAAGTTCAGCATTGCTATTAATTTTTCTACTTTTTTAGCGTCACAACATAATCTTATGTCAACACGATTTCCTATATTTTCCATTTTCTTACCATACAGAAAGTTTAATTAAATTGCCTCAATGTCCTTTTTTCTGATTAATATGTAAATTGTCGACTATAAATTCGTATCTTCTATTATCAGGACTTATTATACTGATTTACAGATAATATTACAAAGATTAACAGAAAACAATTAATATTTTATTTCGTATACCCGATAGTATCCAGTTTATATTGAGTTAATCAGGTATACGAAATAAAATATAAATTGTTTTCTGTTAATTTTTGTAATATTATCTGTAAACCAGTATAATAAGTCCTGATAATAGAAGATACGAATTTTTTGTCGAAAATTTACATATTCATACGGAGAGTTGTTCATTAGTTCAAAAAAGTCCTTTTTCGAAATCAATAGTTGCTTTTTTTTCACATTTTTGTATTCATATCTATGTATTTCTTTAAACAATCTGATTGCTTGAATTCTAATACTCTATGTAAGTTTTCGAGTTTCATCCCCATTTTTAAATATTGTTTAAGACTTCTATAATAAAGCACATGCTTCTTTTTATCATAAAGTGTTGTTAATAATTTTAATTGTTTCTATCCATCTGCGATCGATGGTATTCTGTTCTCTGGAGCTAAAAATAGATCAGAATGATAATCATGTAATTCTTTCGAATATTCCAAATCAACTTCTAATGTATATCCTTCTCTATTGTCATCAGAAATATTCATCAGAAATTGTTCACTCTATTCTGGTGAAATATAAGTTTTTCCATTCCATTCTTTTTCAAAAGAATATTTCTTTTGCAGAAAATTATTACATCATTCAAATCCACCGTATGGTAAATATTGACTCATGGCCCATCAATATAAGTTATTAGCGTCTAGATACATCAAATAATTAGATTCCATGTTTTAATCATAATCTTTCATATACTTGTTATTTGCCTTTTCATATTTCTTAAAACATCGGGAGATCCACCTCTTATTCCTTTTTCTATCATCAAAATCATATCATAATCACTTATTAACTGTAAATGTACACCAGTCATCTTTAACATTGCATCCCATGATAATTCAAGTACTGTGAAATACCATGCTGGGACTAATTTATAAGTTTTCATGCATACATCTGTAACATTCTCAAAGATGTCTGCTAGTATCAAAACATCTCTTTTCACTTATAGATCTGAATATTGTCCCATATTCCTAATCGTAAATGCATCCCATACATTTTGTGCATGTTTAAAATCTTTATCCGTTATACCACATTCATTTAATATACTATAAAACTCTTGTTTCGGAAAAAGTTTATCCATTTCACATTTGTTCCACGAATCCATATAGTCATAAGGATAAACACCTTTTCTTAAAGATAAATCTAATAGGTGATTAAAAATACTTAAATGTTTCTCTAAACTGTTTTTTTTTTACAAATTACTGGAGAGTTTAAATTTATGGCGAGTAGTATTGATAAATTAATCTATAAACCCAATTTTTAATTTCTTACTAAATGATATATATCTCTCTTCATTTTTCCAATTTTCTTACTAGATGATATATATCTCTCTTCATTTTTCGGTATCAAACTAATTGTCTTTGTACCATACCCAAGTTCCTTGATAAATAAATGGGAGTCATATCCAGTTAGATTATGAAGGAATATTGGTATAAAGTTAGGTTTTTAAATTTGAAATTGCACTGATTATGAGCTGATCCTCTGTATTCACCTGTAAAATGATTATGATCTCTATCTTTGTATAATTCCCACCACATATATAACTGGTATTAGTATTTTGAAAATGTTTGAAAATCTTTTTTATTTATTTATTTATTCAAAAATTTATATTCATTCAGTTGTGCTTTTTTTTGTATATTTCTCTAATGGAAAATATTTAAATTTACAATAAACTGTTTGTCACTCAAATACACGTCAGATTCTAATATCCTCCCAGCTTTAAGTAGATTAAATAGCTGTTTATAAAATTTAAATGCTTGGTTGTATTTCGACTTTCTTTCTGACAGTTTTAACGATTTATCTATAACTTCAATTATTCTGGATCCCAAGCTTAATACTGCTTACGGAACTATAACAAACGCAGATAGACCTGAAACACTAAATATAAATTTTCCAACTGTTAATGATACACTAATTACAGGTAACCCCCGTATAACACGGCACTTCTATAGCACGGATTCACTCTAACACGGTTCGAGAATTGGTACCATTTCCCGTATAACACAGTACTTTTATAGCATGGATTCACTCTGACACGGGTCGAGAATTGGGTAAAACCCTCGTACAACAGGAAATGTAATAAATTTTTACATACCTAAGTAATAATAGTTCACGAAAATTATTATTTTCGTGAACTATTAGTACTTAAGTATGTAAATTTTCTCTTCTCGCCTTCTGTCGATACACGTGGTCCTTCTCGAAACTTGTTTCAATGTTGCCAGATCGCGACGCTTCTGCTTCTGATGTTGCCGAATGTTTTTCCCTTATTCCATACTTGCTTTATTCTTCATAAGTGCTTAGCACCATATAAGGAAATTTATAAAGACCTTTTAACTAGAAGCAAGCAATCTAAAATTACATACATTTTGCAAAAGGTAAAGCATGGATCTGAAGATAATGCAGAAAAATGCTCAGAGGATAAGGATAACTTGCCAAAAAGAAAACGCTCTCGGTTAATTAATAGTGTTTTTAGTGATGACGAAGAAAACATTGTTTAATTTATATTAATATGTATCACTTAAAAAAATTTTAATGAAGATATTTATCTTAATTATGAAAATATACTAGCATGATTTTTAATTTTTGGAACCAAACCCTCCTTTTCGTATTAGTTCTTTGTTTCGTATAACACCGATTCGCATAGCACGGCAATTTTTTGGAACGTAACTACCGTGTTATACGGGGGTTATCTGTACATGATAATCATTATATCACTTTCTCTAAACATTTCTTTTTTTCTAAGTATTCTTCCATTTATAAAGGAATAAAATTACGTCGATACTTTATCTTTAGATTTTTAAGATCTAGCATAAAGAAATCGTATGCTTTTTGAAAAGCTTTACTATATAAATTTTTACAAAATGATCCATCTATTTCTCTAATTATCTGCGTAATTTCTCTATCTTGAATCTTGAAGGGAATAATATAATTATAGTTTTTTCTTATGTTAATTGGTGTTCAGTAATAGGATTGAGATACGTAAATAATTGAAGCATTTTTTTTCTTTCCTCTGATAAAGAAATCTACTATTTTAGATTGATCTTTTTCAGTAATACAATCATCAAAAATAATCAGATTTTTTATCGATGGTCTAAACTATTGATGTCAATCATATCTTCTATACTCGAACAAAAAACTATTCCTTTTTAAATTTTTTAAATAACTGTAATAACTTTTTATTTTTTACACTCAATTTATCTTCTCCCAACTCATCAGATTGAGTATAGTTTTCTTGAAGTTTTTCATATATTGGTTCATTAATATCTTTAGCACATACATATAAAGCATCAAAATTCAATTGATCATAAATTAAATTTAATAAAAGATTTGTTTTTCCACATCCTGACAAACAAACGATTAAAAGTTTGAAAGGATGTTTAGGTAACCAGAAAAAACATATATAGGAGAAACAAAAAAAAATTAAAAATAAGAATAAATGAATGCATCTGAGCAATCAAGAGAAATTATGCAAATTCAGTAGTAGCGGAGCATTGTAATATCACAAATTGTGAAATAGTATTGAATTCAGTTAAAATAAAGAAAAAAGAAATGAATAATAATAAAAGACAACTTTATAAACATATTAATATAATAAGACAAAATAATAAAATAAATAGTAATACCGGTAGGAAACGCACTAATCATGGCTAAGACTCATAGAAAAAGGGGAGTGTCTAACTGATAAAAAGAACAATCAGAAAAAGTGGAAACGAGGTTTAAGGCAAACGGATCTAGAACGAATGTAAGTTGTAACAATAGTAAGTAAATTAAAAAACTGAAATAATGTTAAAATAATATATTTAATACAGGTTTAAGATTATAGTACTACTGCTATTGTCGGTCAAATTTGAATGTCCAGCTGTGGTAAAAATAAATAAAAACCTTAAAATTGTAAGATTTTATTGAGAATTTTATTAAACCTTTTGTCAGGAATTTTAATTGTAATTTTAAATACTTAATTTTATTGTTATAGAATATACAAAAGTACCTGCTGAGGAGGGACAAGAATGTCCGAAACGCAAAACTATGTATGTGTNAAACTGAAATAATGTTAAAATAATCTATTTAATACAGGTTTAAGATTATAGTACTACTGCTATTGTCGGTCAAATTTGAATGTCCAGCTGTGGTAAAAATAAATAAAAACCTTAAAATTGTAAGATTTTATTGAGAATTTTATTAAACCTTTTGTCGGGAATTTTAATTGTAATTTTAAATACTTAATTTTATTGTTATAGAATATACAAAAGTACCTGCTGAGAAGGGTCAAAAAAATATTGAGTGTAAAAAACGCACAACTATATTTG